ACAGAAGTATACAAAAGCAAGATGGGATGCAGAAATAAACAAGTTTAAGTGGTACAGTCAGTTCTTAATTTTGTTCTATATTGAAGGCTGAGCTCATCATTGTAATTTTCATCTTTATCCTGGTTCATACTGCACCTTTCTCTCTTTATCTGTAAAATACAGGTTTGCAATTATCTGAAACATCATCAGGATTTCCTGTATTGGAGAGAAGTTCCTTAATACAAGGACAAAGTATTTATGCACTGATTTGAGGGAAATAAAAAATACCAAAAGGTGTGTGAATGTGCTTTCTTATGCATCAAGAAAATCTTCTCAGTATGAATAAAATCCCCCAGAAAATCTCCAAAACATTATTTGTAGCAAAAGTTAAGGTAATATAATCACATGGTTTCAAAAACTAAGAACTCCTGAGAGTCACTCACCATCAGCAGTAACTATTTTTTCAGCAAATACAGCAAAATTCTCATTTCTAATTTTAACTTTGGATAATCTCAGCATTTGATCTGGCAATGTGTGTTTTTAATCTCATTTATTATTGAGCTATGGAAGAGAGTTGTGAACAACTCACACATTGCTTGAGCAGTGAAGCAGCAACAAAGCTGGGCACCAGAGAACTTGCCAAGTATGCAAGGAGTTCTATTTTCAGGTATAAACACCAAATTTATGCCAAGATACATAAAAAGCTTGGTGTCAATACTTCTACAGAATCTTAAGAGCTTTAGGAAGTGGATCCACAGAGAGGGATGGTTTTGATCTTGTAGATTTTGCTTAAAATACCTTTTAGAGAACTGGGGACCTGCCACAGGCTGTGGGAGCTCTAACAGGTTTTGGTGTAATCAGATTTTAAATTTACTGTAATCAAAGCAAGGAAGGCTCTGTCCTTGGAAAAGCAGAGTTAAACACCCTCAAAGAGCCAAGTTTAGAAGTCAGTGCTCAAAAATACGACAGAGACAAGTGTTCTGACATTGCAGTTCTTTATTTGTTTTTGAGTCCACGATCTATACAGGTATTTACAAGGCATGGAAATGGATAACAGCACAAAATACAATTGAGGTATAAGCTAAGAGCACAGTATGTCATGTTTCAATAAATATAATTCAAAATTTGTAAACTAAGTGACCAGATAGATGCATCTTGTCTACTAAAACCATATAAAATATCTGTTAAATCTCACGTGAGGTAGAGGACAGTTTTGTGTGTCATGTGATGCAACCACAGCAACGCTGACAATAAGACTGTACATCATTGGCAAAGTATTAAGAATTGTTGAATGCACTGATCATTTTTCACAGGCTTTTCTATGGTTTCAGAATTGTCACTCAACCTGTTGCCTCGAGCTAACACGGACTCAGCTGTTTTGCAGCTACTTTCTGTCGTTTGAGAGAATTATACTGGCATGTCAACAGCAATAAATACTTTAGAGAGTGAGGATGAAAACACAAAAAACGTTCTGTCAATCACAGAAAGCAACGTGATGGCAACGAAATATTTCAGACCAACTTTTTATTATTTCCTAGAATTCGTTTAAATACAGTACAGCTGTGCTTTCCTTTAAGTGAGGTATCTCTTAGAAGAAAAAAAAATTCAATTGATATCGTTACACTTAATTAATTTTCAAATAGCAAAATTTTATACCGTGTTTGCTGTGCTTGATGAAGTGCTTAAAACTCATTTTTCAAGCATTTTCCAACTGAACCACTAACCCTGAAAAAACCAATTTGCTAAGTAATGGAGACACACTATAAAATCATCGTGCAATTCATAAGCAATAACTGCTTTCACAAAAGCTAAAAAAAATGACTGCATTTTTTAAATAGATATATGCAGCAAATAGAAAATTCTACAAGCTTTCTGTAAAGAAAACCAATGAACACTCACACTACAAATGTAATGAGCAAAAAGAAAATTGAAATTTGCAGCTTTCTGCTGCTTACTATCAATGGCTTAAATAAAATTACCGAAATATTGCAAGCACAGGTTAATAGGTAGGAGAAATTACGTCTTTTGTAGACCTTACCATGTTATAGAAAACTCTGTTGTGTGGATTAATTACACGAATTAAGTGCAGAAAAAATACAAAGTTGTTATCTTTACTGACAATCAAAATATATACTCTACAAACAAGTGAATTCTAGGAAGCTGACCACAACAGCATTTCGAGGCCAACTTCCCAACTAATGCTAGGAAAGGTTTCCAAAAATTTCATAACACATTCTAGCTATCCCCTCCCCCAGTACAAAACAAGAATGTATGAATAAAACATTGTGACTTCTAAAATTCAGGCCAAGACTTATTTCTTTTCAGGCCACCAGTAGCTTTATGCTCCCACCCAACTTTTCCTACATCACTAATTGCATTTTGCCTTTACTATGTACAGATGGTTTTACATCTAAGCTATCAATATATTAAATACAGAATAAAATTAGTTTAAGAATGTGAAACATAACTACATTCATCTAAATACTCCAACTGAACGATATGTTTTACAAAAACTAAAACACAGACTTAACTAAGTTTGGAGATTTAGATAAAAATCTCTTTTGTTGAGGGACACCTGGTTACACTCTGAGTGAGGTGTTTCCAGACTGCCAAAATTACAAGAGTTTTACCCTAAGCTCTCATATTTTATTGATTAAAATATACAAAGCATGTTAAATTTCTCTTTTATAAAAGTATAGGAGCAAATTAAGTATTCACTCCCAATCCTACTAATTCCAAAAGGTGCACTAGGCAACTTCCATCTTGGTGTAGGTGTTTAAGAACACAACTTTCAAATTATAGACAATTTTAGGGCTTTGTTCTACAGGTTTCATGTCACAACTACCTGGGAAAATTACTTCTTGCCTGAAAAGGTTAGCAAGCAATGACTGAAGGCAAACCAAATAATACATAAAATGAGCATGCTGTGACTAAAAGCAAAAATCTAATGACTGATTTAGTCTCTACCATTAAGTGTGCACTTAAGTGAGGGCCCTCAAGTGTGCATTCCAAGTTCCTATGTCAGGCTGTAAAATGAACCATTCAACAGAATTAGGATAAGGTAGCAAACAGAAGGTCAACATATATTTTTTCTAAAACTTAAGAGCATTATTTACAATTTACTAGAAAACTATCTTTCAGAGACTGTGAGCACACAAAGGTCTATGGCACATTTATGTATACATTATTACTTAAAATCAGTATAAAATTAAGTCTACACATATGAAAATTGTTTATGTTACGTCAAGAGCCTGAAAGTAGTATTTAAGAATTTTAAGAGGATTACAATAATTTAAAATGCATTCTAACTTTAGATTAACTAAATGGAATATTTACAAAGCTACTTTTAAGGTCATTTTAATAAATGTTCCATTGGCTTTACCAGCCAGATGTTCAAAAATAATTAGGAGGGCCTTATCTGCAATTGGAATTGGTGAAACTTCCAATAGCTGATGGAGTTCTTGCAACAGTGAAAATTTTGGTATAAAGGATGGCCACCTTTTTATTGGTACAAAGGATGGCCACAGCATTTCCAGAGCCTCCAGCAGTGACCCAAGTGCTGGCTGAGGCACAGGAACCTGGGCTGCACCTCCATGGCCACTGCTGGCCAAGGGGAACATCTGAGCAGGACAAGAACACAGACAAGACCTGAATGGAAATGGAATATTCACTATCCTACTAATAGAATAATCCAGCAGGTTCCAAACACCCAACAGCCCAGCTATAAATACTGTGGTGCATCAGCTGTGGGAAGGAGCTGTGGCTTTACCCACACCCAGAGCCTGAGCTGGCCCCACCACCCCGAGAGGCAGCACAGAGGGACTCTGTCCATGCCTCAGCAGCACCCAGGTGGGACTGCCCCAGTTCCCAGCTCAGCCAACACAGGATCTGCCCATCCCACTGGGCAGGCTCAAGCTCTGCCCCCAGCCATCACACCCCAGCAATGCTCCTGCCTGCTCTCCATGTGCCCATGGGTCTGGTGGCCGGACAACAAAACATTCCTGGTGCTTTTAAAGCAAGTGGTGCACACACAACCAGAACCATTGAGTCAGCTCCTTTCCCTCCAAACCAAGCTGCAAAGACAGGCCTTTTCCTTTCTAGTTTGTTTTTTTTCTTTTTTTTTTTCTTTCTTTTTTTTTTGTTGGTTTTCTTTCCAAAGAAAAAAATTTGGAGATGGGAGCTGAAGAAGAGAAAAATATAATCCTGGTATTCTTTTCCAGCAGGGGGTGGAAGATGATCTTTAAGATCCCTTCCAACCCAAACCATTCTATGATTCTCGACACTGACAAAGAAAAATTTTTTTTTCATCTAACTTGCTTTACTTGTCAGTGTAAATATGACACAGAGCTCATAAACAAAATTGTACAGTTATTTAAAAAATCATCCTAATACTCTGTGTCATTTAATTTACCACCTCATTTCTCATTCAATTTAAAGATATGTGCAATTTTATCTTTCTCTGTGATATTTAGTCTTGTTATATCACTAATAGAGAAACAAAAAAGGAGTTTTCAGTTTTACTAGTTGAGGGGAAAAAAAAAAGATCAGTGTAGGCTTTTACTAGTGGTTTCATCCAAAATTAACTGAATTATTAAGAGAATATTAAACTTAAGTACCTCAAACCAGAAACTAAAAGTACAAGTTAAAATTATGTTGTGAAACACTAGAATTACTAAAATATTCCTATCACTGACATGATCAGCTGACATCTGCCAGCTGCATCCAATTTTTTGGAGAGAAGTGCAAAAAAAGTTTTTGTTCATCCAACTTTAGCCATGCATTTAACCCACTAGGAACCAGACTTCAGAAGTACTCAGACATTATATATATACATAAAACAGTAATTCTGTACAATTACACATTTCCCAATGTTATAGCTTAACAAACATGCTGTATTTTCTTAATTCATGGTAACCCTACCATGCCATTCAAATACAGAGACTATCAAAATGATTTTTCAAAGTGCCATACCTCAGAATTTTATATTTTAAGCTATGATCACAATGTCAGTTAAGGCCTGTTCTATGTGATGAAAGAAAAATCCACTAGTTGGCAAGAAGCTCCAAGTGTGGAGGCTTAGGGTACTGAAGAAATTAATACATATTTCTTTATAATAAATATTCTTTTTCTTGAAAGCGTTAATATCTGAAAAACAGTTAAGTCAAGCTTTCTCAGTTTCTAAAAGGAAAAGCCCCACCTTTAAGCCTTTTAATAATGTTTCTTTCATATGTACTAGACAGAAAACAACAGAAGAAAACTTGTGAATTTTTAACTTCTCAAGATTCCACTGTAACTGCAATTTTTTTAATTCACAAAACCAAAACAAAACAAAAAACCAACCCCTAATGTTTTCCAGCAGAGCAAGCAAGTGCTGGCTCTAACACTCCTTAGACTGATAATGAGTTGTTAAATAGACAATACTGAAAAGATCAGCTGACTTCACACAATGAAATTATGGGAAAAACTCATGCTGGTAAATCACTTTTGATACTCAATCATCAATCAGTTGTGGCAATTTTGAGCTCTGTCTTACAGACAAAAAGCTGCCTTTACTTTCCTCAGTTCAAGAATATTTAATTCTCACTGAAACCCAAACTATTTAAGACCTTGAAGAATTGAGGATATTTTTAATGTACTTTTATAACTGGATGTGCAATTGATAGCAAAATAAAGATACCCACACATGTTTTAACAGACAATGTTAAAAGGTGTAGAGTCCTTAAGACTGCATTAGAAATAGACAGAAACTGGTCACTCTAAATCAAGAGTTTCGTATTTTTCATCGTTTGAGAAAAACACCAGTACAAATCAATGCAGATTTTCATTGGCTAGGAAAATCTAAAAATGTCTATCTCTATTTATTTATATCTATGTATATGTTCATCTGGACCTGTCTGGAAATAGAAATCCAGAGAGAACACTTTTTCTCAGCACACAAAAATTGTTCACAATCATTAAAACCAAAACACCCTGTTTGAAGGACACAGTCATGCTTCCTCTTCCAATTTCTATTTTCCTTTCCCGTTTTTGGAAGATTTCAGGATCTGTAGCTTCAATTCCTTTATCATCATCTCCAGCTTTTCCCGAGCCTCTCGTTCCTGTCTCAGTTCATCCTGAAGCTCTTGTCTATCTGCCTCTGCATGATCCAACCTCTGCCTCAGCTCTGCCAGCTGGGAAACACAAGGCACACAGAGGCAGAGTCAATTTTAGCAAACATCAAAGGGTCACAGATGGCCACTCTATGCATCCAAGCATTTCAGTCCACCAGACTTATGCAGTTATCAAGTTATCACTTACCTGCTACACCATTAGCAAACAATGTCAATGTGCAAAGCTGCATAAACGTCATACTATAATTTAAAAAATGAGAAAATCTAATTTTTAAATGCAGATAAGTTGTAGCTATATGAACTGTCACACCAGACAGTGTATATACACAATATATACAATATGTACATACAATATGTACAATAACACATAGAATCTGTTGGGAAAAATTGTGATGATGTTTGCATTGGATGTGCCACAAGTCCCAGAACAGATTGCATTTTTTCATTTCCCAGGTCCATTTCCCTTACCTGACAAAATATTACTTCCTCATTTCAAAGCCTGAGTGTATTTCTAGAAGAAACAAAATCACCAACACTGTTTTCTGATATTCCTTAGTATAAATGAAATATTCAGAAAATTTTGAGCATAACCATCTCTGTGTGTATGTGTTCAAATATAAACCTGAGTCCACACAAATGTTTTTGTGATATATTTTGTGTTTAAACACAAAAATTAAGTATTCTTTTCCTCTTTGGAATACATCAAGGTTCAAACTTGCTAGAATGTCACCAAAGTTATTTACAGTGACATCTGGAAACACCTTTTCAAGTGTGGGAAAGTTCCTTATTGCTTATAGTATACTACCAGCAGTTAAAACAGGGAGGAGACTGGAAAACAGCTATCCTCCCTCCCATTGATTCATGGGCTTATTTCTTACTAAAAGACCATCCAATTTATTTATATGTTTTTATAATTTCATTCCATCTAAGTTTATTATAATTTAATTCCATCTAAAAAAACCCATCTGCCTTTGTAATGATAGGTGTACATCTGTACCTGATGAACATTATCACTAAGCATCCATCTCACTGAGAATTAGGAAGACAACTCATTTAAAGGAAAGAGCAGGAACATACAGGGTATTAATGGTGTTCACCAAGTGCTACAGAATGTACTGGCTAAAGGGATGGCTGTGCTGGTTTTAGAGAAACACCACATTTCATCCCCACTTCTTTAATCAGAAATATTTCAGCAGTTCTTAGCCAACAACAGGCTGTTAGTGCAAGTGCTGACTGCACAAGTGCTGCAGTGAAGTGCTGCAGTGCAACAGTGCCCACTGCCTGCATGCTGCAACATGTCTCTGCCTTTGATTTCCAGCTCTAAGGAAAAGCTCCAGGACTGGTTATTCTGCCTTCCTGTGACTGACAGGGTGAAGCAAGTATTTCAATAAGGAAGTCAAAAAAGGGGGCAAGACGGTGCATATTCAGACAGGCCTAGAAAGGAGAAGAGACTTTTAAGCAAGCTGCAAATACCAAATTCTTAATTCTGTTTAGTGCACAAGGATTCCTCCCAGTCCACAGTTCTGAGACAGAAAAGGCAGCCTGGGCAACTGCTTCAAGAACACATCAGATTAAGGCTTTTTTGGAATGCTGTATACACAGCTTGGGAAAGTTCTCTGTTCCCAAGACCTCTGTTTAATTCTGGTGCTTCTTGGAACCAGAATCCACTGCAAGATGTGATAAATGGTAAAAAAGGTTCAAATTATACATTGTGAATAGATCCACCACAGAGGTATTAACAGAGTAAACTTTTACACAAGGAATGTATGTAGTTTTCAGAGTCTAACTTCAAAAGGAACACACAACCAATCTCCTTGGGGAACAATCCACAGTTTTCACCCTCCAAAGGGAGTGAGCTGCACCAGCCCTATAAAACATGCTGTACATGATGATCTCCATAAATTAGAACACGTTGTTACTTGCACTAACAGGGCTTGTACCAGATGTTTAGTAAATCAGGCCTTAGTCAGAGAGGATTATTTCTGGCAGCAAAGGCCAGGAATCAGTGGAGTGGGACGTCATGAAATGAAATTCATGAGAAGGATTTACGATGCGAGTCTCTGCCCTACTCACCAAAAATACCAAAACCTGTCTCTCAAGTAGTGCCTGTTTCTCAGTTTGAGTCAGTCTGAACAGGAAATACACAGTTGTGAACAAAGGACCACAGAGCTTTACTGAGCTCAAGTTTTAGATTTTGTTCACTTTAAAAATGAGCCTGTTAGGATTAGTTTTCTGTGATCTGGTGCGAAATTTAAAAAAATTAATCATAACTACATCTGATTTTTTAAAGGGGCATTCCAAGGTTCCCTTTGTCATTGACTATATTTTTTCCCTTTGGAATAACCTCCAACATAAAGAAGCAATAGTAAAAGCTAAAAGGAAAGTGAGAGAAAAAAACAACTCCATAGGTTTTGACATATGAATCTAAGAGGCTAGAATGAGAGACACCAATATGATTTTCACTTCCAAGAAAAGTCTTGGCCAAATGTTTTGTCAGAGCCCAGAAGGGGCTCATCAGATACTGCAGAAGGTTCTACCACCAAGGAACATGAGGAGCAGCAAGGTATGCTGCTATTCTGACAAAAAGAAGGTTCAGAGGTTTGGAATTATTTTTTTTTACATAAAGTAATGATAATGTTTAAGTCTGTATCACGGGCAAGCCCATATACATTAAAAACAGAATTTGTTTTAAATGAGGGTGTAACAGACCTCAGGTTTAAGTTTAATATTTCATCAATAATATATATTTCTGTAAGTCACATTCTACCTCAGTTTCAATCAAGGAACAGGAAAATAAATATTGCTGACACTGACCTATTTTGGTATCTGTCTGTGGTGTCAGAACAAACAGAGAAAACGAAACCTTAAGGTGGCTGAACAACACCTTCACAATTTCCTGATACACTAAACATGTTTTGTTTGAAACAAACCTTCCCTTCTCACCTGTGCTGCATATTCAGCTTCTTTATCTTTTTCCAAATTGGAGTCACAGCTACATTTTTGCTTCATCACTTGGTCCAGTTTCTTCTCCAAGTCTCTCTGCTCAAAATAAAATTCCTCCATTCTTTGTGCATGCTCTGCTTGCAAACATTCGAGTTCTTTTTGTAAATTCTGCTGCTCTTCAGTCAATTCCTTCATAGCTTTAGAGTTGCTTAACATTTCCACTTCCTGTAAAGAAAGATCAAGATCATATACTGCTTCTTTCTAACACCAGAAAAGTAAAAAAACCTCAATTTAAAAGTGTTTCTGGAATCAATGAGGTCAAAAAGACCATTTGTAACTACCAATAACAACAGCCTGATAATGGTATTGATCTACTTATCAATGACAGCATGGAATTCTGTAACATGTATTCTAATTTTTAAGAAATTACAATTACTTTTACTTCCAAGTACATGGAGCTTTCAGAAACAAATTTGCATTTCCAGCAGCGAACTTCAGGAAGCAGAAGAACTGATTCACTAAAATATACTTTGAAGATGCAAGAAGTGTAGCACCAGAAAACAAAATCAAGTGTTTGATTTCTTTGTCCACTGACATTTTGATATTTTTAAACTCATATTTTTTTTAAACTTATCTACAAGCTTAACCTCCAACAGCAGAACAACTTTGAAGTAGCAAAGGATCTAGGGCCTTATCTGAGCTCCTAGATTCTGAGATTAACATTTAAATTAAAATAAAATAAATTAAAATATTAGCTCTGTTCCATGGATGTAAGAAGCAAAGACAGTACTGCACTGAATTCAGAAAACAGAAATGTCACAAATGAACACCAGCTTTTAAAATAATCCATTATTAAAAAAAAACTAAAAATAAAATCCCTAAAAGCATGGCTTAGCAAATGGGAATAGGAAAGTGGTATTCTTTTTTATACAGGGCAGTGATAAGACCATTCCTAGAATACTGATATCTGCATCTTTAAAAACCTGAAACTGAGAAATTTCAGAAGATACAGCAAAAGCAAGAGCTCCTTGGACCCAGCAGCTGCAAACTGAAGAGGCACCACTTATTAGTGGGCTCAAAACTCATGAACATAAGGGACACTGAAGATTTGGTGTCTGGATTTAAGCTGAGGCAAAGATGATCAGTGTGCTCTGGTGTTTCTAAACGATGCAATCTGTGATGCTGACTGAGGAGCCAGCCCACAGCAGCTCCCTGCTGCCCAGGGGGAAAGGCACTCAGACTGCCACGGTACCATTTGGAGCTGCTGCTTCCTCCGCAAAATCGTGTTCAGCTTCTCCTGCTGCTTGATGTAGGTTTTCATGACTTCTTCCATGATCCTTCCCTTGTCATCCTCACAGCTGATGTCCTTCATGAGTGTGGGGGACAAGGTTGGTGCATCAGCACCTCCCTCAGCACGGCCAGAGTCCCTGGTGATTTTGGAAGAAACGCGCTCACACTTTGCACCTCTCGCAGCACGAGTTGACACGGGAGGATCTACACAGGAGAAAACAAGAGAACAAGAATCACAGAAAGTTCAAATTCCAGAGTGAAACAAATGCAAAGAAAACTGAGATCACAAAAAGGTGGCGGGAATTTTTGGAAACCTGAAGTGACATCACAAAATTCTAGCTCGGTGTAAAGCTTTCCAAAATTCTGTGGTATAAAAATCAAAGCTCTCAATATAATTCTCACTACTCACCTAAACGTTTATTTGGCTGCTCCACCCCAGTTTTCAAGTCAATTTTTTCCTGCTCTTCAAGAGAAAGCTCTGGATAGGAGGCAGCTTTTTTGTGCTTTCCACTACTGAGCTTCTTCTCTGACTGCCCAGGTGAGGATTTATTGACTTCTGAAGCTTTTACTGATGTTTTTGCAACATCCTTATATTGAGATGCAAGAGACACATTCGGGGCAACCACTTTATCACACATATAAAGGTAGTAACTGAAAAAACAGCAGAAAAGTAAATTTCAGAGGTAAGACATAATAAAAGATGGTTGGTTGAGAGCAGAAAGTTTAATTGAACATGAGTTCAAACTGTGAAAGCATCAATGAAAAAGAAGCATGTAGTTTTTAATTTTTCCTATGCAAAAGGAAAGCCTAACAACCCACTTAAACTTTACTGAGTAGATTATCTAGATAAAGTTTTGAGGTTATCAAACAAGTAGATTTTTCAAAATGGCTTATTTTAAAAAAAAATTACAGTAAATCATATGAAGGCTTCATTTAAATGCAAAGAGTGAAATTAGAATGCCACTGAATCCAGACTCTCCAGCATTTTCCTAATCCTTATATCAGCAATGGAGGATGGGGAGGTGATCAGTGAAGAGGGAATGAGCACCTCACTTAAGTAACAAAGCTGTGTTCTGCCAGTCCTGGGGCACATCTGAGACCAATGCTGGACCTTCCTTCCCAGTATACTGAGCTGCCCATTTGGATTTTCACAGCTCCTGGGAGCATCTCTGTGTCCCACCTTCACTTCAGCCTAGTACAGAGGGAAGAGAGCCCCAGGTGTGCTCAGGTCAGTGCCAAGATCACCAGTGTCACTGGAGTTCCAAGTGATGTCTTCAACATTTCCCTTTCTCCTGGTTCTGAAGGAAGGCACTGGCAGAAACAGAACATGAGGGCCCATCACAGAAGTTCCTCCACACCCCTCTCTGTGTGGGAACCAGTGTGATGTGTGTGCACCAAAAAGGGTCTGCTCTGACCCAAATTCAGGACCTGTGCAACCACAGGGGGTGAGGGCAAGAGGAGTATCAAGAAAAACCATTTCCCTCACTGCTGCAGGTGACAAATTGGGTAAGAAGTCAAGGAAATGCACTTGGTTTCTAAAACTAGGAAACCAGCCCACAGACAGTGCAGCTGCAGTCCTTGTTCCACAGTGGGAGAAAGCCTTCAAACACCTCTTGGAAGTCTTTTCTGGAAGGAAATTAAGTGGTCCTCATGGTAAATAGGCCCTGTGCAGCTTTTCCACATGTATGTATTGTATTACCATATGAAAGATACAAGTTACCTCTGTCATTTCTACTAAGAAAGGGGAAATTTTAATTACATTTCAATTGTATTGCCTGCTGAAGAACACCCACAGGTCACAGCTTGAGTCTTATAACAAAAAACACTCATAAGCAGTTCATTAGTATTTACACTAAGAAATGCATAAAAATTTAGGGTTAAATTATTCCCATGTGATACCTGAAGAGTTTTCCTAACAGTTCAGGTTGCAAATACATTTTTTCTGTCTGAATTATACCTAAATAGCCAAAAGTATTTGAACACTTCACAGTGCTTATAGTTCTATATAGGAAACTCAGTTACCTGGGGTGGAAAAAGGAAGGTGGTTGAGGATCAGTTTCTGCTTCTTGCTTTATAACTGGATACCACTGCGATAATTCCAGGTTCTGCTGTGGCTCTGCCTAAAGGAAGTAAAATAAACTGGTAATTGAAACATGGATACAGATTATTTACATTTTCATAAGCACTCCTCAGAGAAATGGCATTTACACCATTAATACAGATACACCAGAGAAACTGGGGCACTGGGAAATGGGGTGTCTTTGGCAAAGGTGCAGGGTGATGCAACCCACAGAATTCTTTGATCTCCAATTTACCACTGTGGGCAAAAGAGCAATGAAATGAAAGAAAAACGTCTTTACAGATCTATCTAAAAGCTCTGCTGAGTTTCCAAAACTCTTCTAAACAAGCCTGGGAGAAAAGCAGAAACTAGGATTCCCAAAAGGTTGTAGGAGCCTTTTGTAATAATGTGTCTATATAAAGTAAGCAACTGCCAGATACTTTATTTCAAAATTAAATGGAACAGTGTGCTGGTGTTCCAGGGACAGAACTTTCTTCAGTCATCACAAATTTTTATTACACAAGTAGGCAAAGCTGCTCCCAGTAGCATGAAAATGCCATTCCCTTTGCAGTAGCAAACAAAATTTACTCAGGTACATCAGAATATACAATCTTAAAAACTTCTGTGTATTTTGCATTTGGAAAGCAATTGTTGTTCTGTGTGTCTTGAGAAATATTTTTGGAACTACTCTTTACTAGAAATTCCTGGTGATACTTTGTGTTCCCCTGCAAAGTTGCTCTTAATTTCAAGTGAAAGGTGTCTCACCATATATTTACAATATTCTCAGAGCTAAGAAATTGATTGGTAATTTCAGTGTATTAGAACAGCCTTGGGACATGGGGTTTTGGGTGGGGTAGCAGCCTGTGGGTGGCTGACCCCAGGCAGCTGCCAGGCACCCACAGAGCTGCTCCCTCAGCACCATCCCCAGGGCAGGGAAGGGAAAAGAGCAAGAGAGCTCCTGGATGAAGATAAAGCTGGTTTAAGAGGGGAAGGAAAGAGAAAAACACAAGTGAAGCAAAGGGCATGGCTCAGTCCCTCCCTCAGACAACTGCCCAGCCACCCTCCAACAGCCTCCACCTTGGATGCCAAACCCTCTTTCTCCTCCTTCTATCCCAGGTTTTATTGCAGTAGCCAGAACATTGGCATGTTAGCCACAGTTTTAGCCACAAATCCAAAGCCCAGCACCACATAGGCTGCTACAAAATAAGTCAACACCATTACAGCCAGATCCAGTACCTTTCACAAGCTGCTCAATTAAAAAACAGCTAATAAAGTTAAATAATCCTGTATTGAAACCTTTATGTAGTGTTCTAATATCTTCACAACTTCTTATGTGCTATATAATCAGAGAAGTTTGTATTTTCCCACCCTGGAATAGACCTTTAGAGAACTTCATCCCTGGCAGTGACACCAGTGTGAGCTGAGCCAGGGTCTGCAGAACCCAACATCCCCAACCCTGGCAGGGACCAAACCCCACCTGCCCCATCCTGACCAGAACTCCCACCCCAGGAAACTCAGCTCTCACAATGAAACTGAAATTCCAGCCCTGCAGTTCCTCAAATCACTTCCAACACAGACAGAAAGGAGGGAGGGAACAAGGAAGAGAAGCTCTGGAGTTGTAAAGTCATAAAAAGGCTTTAAATAAAAAAGATTTGAATAATCTCTAGAAAAACGGCCTCATCCTGACACTTGGCAAGTTTTTTCTACTTACTCAGATCATTCCAATAATTTAAATAATCACATATAATCTACTTATACTGCAGCTAGTATGCAGTGATCTGATTTGAGCTTCAGATCACATTTGTCCATGTTTCAGGACTCACATTTTAACATGCTTATATATTTACATATGAAATTATCAGGTCATCTCTATTTTCAAATTACTAGGTCAGATTTTTGCCTTTTTTTTTTTTACCTATTTCAAGTGGAAACTGAATTTACTATCTACCCACTAGGTGAATCTTGCAAATGAATTTCATAGCATGCAATCAAATTTTTTACTTAGGAAAGAAAATGAAATGTTACCATAAATAAATGAAGTCTTTTTCTAACAGGATTCTTCCCTCACCATTCAGGTAAATGAAATAAGGCATCTATATATATATATATATATATATATATATATATATATATATATATATATATATATATATATCCATTTCATTACCCAAAAATTTGTTTATTTTAGATGCTCTTAAATAATTCTATGAACACAATAAGTTGAATTGAATTGCTACTACTCAAACTGATAAAAAGGTTACATGAAAAATTACTTGTTTTTCTTTAAGGTTAATTGGAGTAAGCTGTTCTTTAAGGAAAAAAAAAATACATAGTTAAGTAATGTTTCAGTGTAATCATTAAGCCAGTAGTTTTAGCAGAGATTGGATTTACAAAACCCCCACACTGTGACCAGCTCAAGGAATCAGCCTGAGAAGGAAAGCAAAGTTTTAGTGCAGAGATGATGAGAAACTGTCACAAAGTCAAAGGGAACAAGGATCTGTCAGTGCAGGAATCAGCAGAGACTCGGTGACAGCTGTTCCATGAAGAGCAGGTGGATGTTGCACTGCAGCCTAGAACTCCACAGAAAATTGTGACAATCAAGCACACAGATTACAGCTTTCTTGTTAGCACAAAGAACAGAAAGGAATTCATCTCAAGAGTACTTTGCTCTTAAAATATTGAAACAAAAGTGTATTTGCACTGTGAGGTGAATAAACTCAGAGTGAAATGCTAAGGAGAAAGGCAAAGCATGGCATCCAGGATGCTCCAAGGACTGTGGGATTTAATTAATTCATTATTACTAGATGGGGAAAGACCTAGCCAAGGGCAACTGTTCTTCCTGGGTCCTCCAAGACAAGCACAAAGGATGTGTCAGCACTTTTGAGGACTGACTCAGCAAAGGTGGTGAGGAGGTGACAGAACAGCAAACAGAACATCCTGCAATAAATTCCCTTAGGAGTGTAAGGAAAGGGAATGTCTACGTGTTGTACCTGATACCTGAAATGAGGAAAAGAAGTGGTGGCTGCTCCATCCCTGGAGCTGTTCAAGGCCAGGCTGGATGGAGCTGTGAGCAATCTGGGCTAGGGGAAGGTGTCCCTGTCCAGGCCAGGGGGGTGGAATGAGATGATCTTTAAGGTCCCTTCTAACCTAAACCATTCTGTGCTTCTCTGAAGCAGCCTAAGCTCCCCCAGGACAAGGAAAGGGAAACTGTACTCCAGCACTGCCCTCTTAAACTTTTTTACTCTTTTCTACTTCCCACATGAATATCCACAGGATGAAAAAAACCCAAAACCTCCCTCATCATTGTACTTTGCTCAGGTTTTCACAGCTTCTGACCCTGTTTTCACACGTTGCTTTGTAAGAAAGAACTACACAGGTCTGCAATGAAGACCTGCAGAAAGTTTTACAATTTCATGTGCACCAATCCAGTCCAAATTACTGCCACTCCTCATTTCAGCTGGGTTTTTTTCATCTCTACAGATGAAACTGAAAGATCTCATTGTCTGAAATCTGCTGCTGTGGGAAGAAAAGCAGCATTTATAGGTGTGAACATAGAAGAGTATTTCCACTGCTGCATCCACCATGCTGTAGCTCCTTTCTTACACTGGCACTGCAAGAATAAAGACTGACATGTCTTTATCAGTTGAAAAGCAAAGTCTCTTTGCTAGGAGACTGCATCTTCAAATAATTCAGCATGTGGAAGCATGCCATACTGCAGACTTCCATGGGAATCTGCTGGTAAAATCTCTTCCTGCAGACTGGCACCACTGTAACAATACCTGTTACTACAGTCAGCCTTCCTGCAACACCAACTTTTCAGAAATTTTTGCTGAAAGGTGTCAGCTCACAGCACCCCTTTTTGGGCTCAACCATCTGTGCTGCTCCTGCTGCTATTTTGAAATCCACCACAAAACATCCAACAGGCAACATGGATTTATCAAACCAGCAGCCATCAAACAGACAGAAACACTGAATACATGGAAAAGAAACTGTCATGGGGCAGAAACCATTAAAAGCCTATTAAAGTCTATACCCCAAAATTGTGTTTTCTATGAACATCTATGATATTAATGTTTCTCTGCTGCTTGTCCTATTATTTAAAGTAGCAGCTCTCCAAGGGACAAATAAGCTCTGTATTTTGGAACCACAGCACAGACTTGCAGCAGTATTTTAGGAAAAAATAAGATGTCTATTATTAACTATTGTCAAGATACCGGCCCACAGCTCATTACTTGGGCTGCTTAAAACCCCCTCTTTTTGGCATATTTCACTGCACAAGTGGTTTAAACAGAAAGCTCTTGCTGAACAAGCAGACTTTGGGCTTCTAAATAGCCATTTAGCAAAGCGCCATTACCCTGCACACAAGTCATGAGATGGGTGGCCAGCAAGCCAGGTTGCCATCCAGCCTACGTTGCATGCTGGAGTACAAATAACAAATGAAGAATTCATTTGTAACACTTGATTTTCAAGCTCCTTTCTGCTTTGCTCAGCTGCTGCAGCACATGCTGCATAAAACCTACTCAAAGGTCAAATGGGAGAACAAAAATTTTCACAATAGCCTGAATTTTCCAGAGTCTGTACACCTTGGGACAGAACAAGAACCAACAAAGCCAAGCCAGCTCGAATGGTTACTTGCAGCCCAAAGAGGAAAGAAATTACCACCCCTCTTAATGAGAAATGTTATTTCCATGGTGAAGCTCTCACAAATTTAACTTAGGCTTGATGTGACAAGTATTCCCACTTAGAAAAGCCAAGTAATGTGCTTCTAAAACAAGTACTTATGTATGAGCAGAAAGAGATCTGGGAGTTTTACACCAGGTGAACTTACTTTGGACCGAGTTCTTTTCTGATTTTTCTCACTGAATTTCTCCTTCATTTCCTCCAAGAGATGCTTCAGCTCTCTCTCCTCAGACGTGCCCAGGTATTTTTGGTTAATGTGCAGGTAGCAGTGCCACTTGGCCGACTCAAACCCCCAGTGGCAGGTCCTCTTGTCAGGGGATCTGTGTGAATGCATCACGAAGGTCTGGGGTGAGAACATCCCGTAGCATTCCAAGCACTGGATACAGGGATCATCCGGGGCAAGGTAGAACTGAGGTGCAAACAACCCCTGGCACTTCCCCAGGCATTCGTGCTCTACTTCAAAGGCACTGCCAGTCTCTTTCAGCTGGGCCAAGGTGTTCTTACCAGGGAGGAAGCTGCCACTTTGGGGAAAAGTGCGAGGGCGCAGTAAAGCGTTGCATAGTCTCTGAGCGTCCGTCAGCGTGATGAGCCCGCAGGACGGAGCGTTGAACGGAAGAATTCCCAAAACCTTCAGAATGTGAAGCTGGTCAGAAGTGCACCTGGAGCAGTAGATGTACAGCTCATCACACACCGTGTTGATCTGCTGCAAGGAGAAGTCTCGGAGAACCGAATTCAACACTTGAGGCAGGCAAAGTCTTTTTTCCCCTCCGACTTTGAAACAAGAGATGGATTCCCCCTCCAGCAGGGTCTGCGTGAGTTCTGTAGAGCTGTCTGGAGGGATGAGCAGCGGACCAGAGAGGATTTGTGGTGATGGGAGAGGCAGGAAGACAGTGGGTGACATACTCTCCTGGGAATACCGAGCTGAAAAAGCTGCAGGTCCACCCAGCGAACTCTGGCTGCTTAGGTGGAACTGTGCCAACGTGTGCTTCAAACCTGGATTTAAACTCAAAGGCTCAGATAGTGAAGCACTGTTTGCCTTGGTGGTTTCCCCATCAGCCTCCACCGGAGTTTCGCCATAGTCATCCAGGTTTTCCTTCTTTATTGTTGGCAACTTATTTATTACTACCTGTACTTTGTTATTTACATGCATTTCTGTCATTGCTTTTTTCAGTGGAGGACTCCCATCCTCTTGGATCCTGCTCCTTTTTTGGTCTGAGACCAGACCTAGAGGGAAGTTTATCTGTGGGCTTTCCATTGCTTAACACTGAGCTTTAATTAAGCCAGTCCTGAATGTGCATTTTCTTGCCTTTTCATATAAAAAATAGTTTCACGGGATCTTGGATTACCTCAGGTACACCAAGCTGCACACTCCTTTCATTAAAACATTACTTCTTCAGCATCCAACAGTAAAAACTGTAACCCATTTTGCACGTAATACCGTAAAATTACTAATGGAGAGGTTACACTATTTTCTTAGTTATTTGCTCAATTTTATAATATAAAAACCCCAATGGAATATGTATACAAAAGGTTTTCTTCAAAGCCTAGCCACTACTTTACACAGTAGTCTTGTCCAGCAATTCAATAAAAAACGATGTGCTGATGCATGTTCATCCTCGTTTTTTTCCTTTAAAAAATATACTGTCTTTTCAAATAAGTCTCTATTTAAATATTAAAATAGAAAAATGGGCTCAGTTAGAAGAATGTCAATCTTAACGAAACGTACTTTAAGTTGTGTGAAAATTTTATTCAGCACTTTCAGCTCCCAGAGATCAAACACAATCTTAAGGGCTTGCTTTATTGTGCTGCCAGCTTTATGATTTCACCACCACCACCGTGACAGCTACTATGGCAGTTCACAAATAAATCCTGAAATTAAAGGCTGATCCAGAGCGACGGCAAAAACTGAACGTCCCTAGAGAGTCACCTTTCGCACAGATGTCACTGGAGTGTGTCACAATTTTCCCAGCCCAAGTTATTAGCAATAGAGGTGAGATCCAGGCCATGGGCTGAATGCATGCCGTGTGCTAGCACAGAGTTCTGCCCGTCCTTTCTGATAACCTGTGAAAGAGAGAGAGGCCATCACAAGCAATCCCAGAGTCTGTTCTGTACCTAAAGGGGCTTCAAGAGAGCTGGAGAGAGATTTTGACAAGGGCAGAAGCGTGACCGGAGTCACAGGACAAGAAGGAATGGCTTTAAACAGAGAGAAGGGAAGGTTTTGATTTGACACAAGGAAGAAATTATTCTCTGTGACAGCAGTGAGGTACTGGCACAGGTTGCCCAGAGAAGCTGTGGCTGCCCCATCCCTGGAAGTGTCCAAGGCCAGGCTGGACAGGGCTTGGAGCAGCCTGGGATAGTGGAAGGCGTCCCTGCCTATGGCGGGATGGGGGTGTCAGAAGAAGATGAGCTTTAAGGCCCCCCTGCAACCAGCCGGGATTCCCTGCCAGAGGCAGGCTGCGTTCCCCAGTAACTCGCGGAACACCGCGACAAGCCCCGACCGACGGGCGCTACCGGCGGGGGAGGGGGCGGTCCGGAGCGGCTCTCCCGGCGTGCACACCCGAAAGGACGGGCGCTCCGGCGAGCCGCGGGCCGGGCACCGGCCCCCGCATCCCGGGCACCGACCCCTCGCCCCGCAGCCCCTCCCGGGACGCCGCACGCCGCCGCTCCCTCCCGCGCCGTGACTCACCCCGGCCCCGCCGGCACCGCTCCGGGCACGGCTCAGCCCTTCCCCCTCCCGCCGCCGGGCTCGCCCCTCCGCCCTGCCCGGCTCCCCGCCGTCCCCAGCCGTACCGCGCCGCTCCGCCGCCCCCGTGTCCCTGCCCCCCTCCCATCCCCGGTACCCCGCTCCCCCTCTCCCCACCGCCCCCGCGCCGCCTCTCCGCAGCCGCCGCTCCCTCCCATCCCATCCCCCGGCGGGCGCTCCCGCCCTTCCCCCCCGGCTCCGCCGCCCCGCTCCCCGCCGTTCGCAGTAAGTTCCCCGGCTGCTCACCCGGCGCCGCGGGGGCTCCGGCGGCCGCGGGGAGCGGAACAGGCGCCGCGCTCGCGCCGCCCACCCGTGACCTCACTGCGGAGACCGAGACGGCGGCGGCGGCGGCGCGCGGGCACGAACCCGCCGGCGGCGCGCGCCGGCCCCGCCCACTGTCTGGGGCAGCGGCGGGAGCGCCCGCCCGCCCCTCCCCCGCCCGCCGCCGCCTCAGCGCCGGGAAACCCGGCCCGGCCTCCCCCCAGCCCCCACCGCCGCCGCCCGCGGGGAAAGAGCAGGAAAATAAATTAAAAATAAAATAAATAAATATATATGTGTAATATATACTAAAAAGTGAATGTACATGGAAAAGTGTTCTTTCTGCCCGGGTTCCCCTCAGCCCGCCCGGTCAGAGCCTGCCCCGCGCCGCCCTGTCGCCGTTCCCCCGTCGGCGGCCGAGAGGGGCCGGCTGAGGGACGGGGACGAAGCGGCATCTGGGGCGGGGGAGGGAGAGCGGCCATGGCAGAAGGGGAAAAGCCGGGCTGGAGGAGGGCCAGGCGCTGTCGGGGAGCTGTCGGGCGTGTCGCTCGCCTGAGGCGCGACGGCGGCGGCGGCGGGCAGAGGCCGCCAGCGAGGGGCTCTCCGTGACTGCGCCTCAGTGACTGTCCCGCAGCGAGGCTCCCGCAAAGAGGGTCCCCCTCTGTCTGTCCCTCAAAGAAGGTCCCTCAGTGAGAGTCCTTGAGTGCCTGTCCCCACGAGGGTGGGCTGTGCTCTGGCACCTCACTGCTGGGGACAGGGAGACGCGGGGAAGGCGGGACAGTGTGAGGGTGCCTGGCCCCGCAGCAGTGTCCTTCGCAGTGTCCTCAGACCGCTTCCTCCAGTCACGGGCTCGCAGGAGATGCTGAAGCGCAGGAGACGTTTTGGGAAGCGAAATGATCAAACCGCGGAGAGGCGGGGAAGATGCTCTTCAGGGACAGCTTAGTCGCTGTACAACTCGTTCATGTATTACAAGTTTCTTCTGCCTGCAAGAAGCCCAAAGCTTTTCAGTTTACATCTTTGTGAAGACAGCGCTTCAGCTGGGATTACGGCGCAATCCAATTTGCCGTTTCCTTTCATCCCACACAGTTACATATTTTGATGTGAGCACAAAAGCGCAGCACATGAAAATGGGGCAGTTGTACAACCACCAGGCACCGCTTAGCACCGGCCAGCGCTGCCCTAAAGCCGTCCCAGGAGGATTATGGCACAGCCACAGAACCTGCCTCGCTGCTGAGCTGCTGAGAGAGGCGTTTGGTGCTCTTTAATCCTTGACTTCGCACCTTTGATATGCTCAGGTTTCCTCCGGGCTGGCTCGCTGATGGAGAGGCCCTTGAGTATCACTGCAAAGCTGCTTCACGAGTCACCTCTTAACTCGCCACATCAGTTGCACTATCTGCAACAGTATCTACAATTTCTTTGGATCCGAGTGATCTTTAAGGCCTCTTCCAACCCAAGTCATCAGGGTTTTATAGAAAAGCAAACATTTTTGCAAAGAATACTAACACCCACTACTTATTTATTAAGCAGATATAAGAGCTGCTTAAAAGCCACAACAATATGGCAGAATTAAACAAGATTTCTGAATCCACCAGCTTTTGGAGCAGATTGTGAAAGATATGAACCTATGAGGGAATCGTCTAGACATTACAGACATTCCTGTCTGCTTCACCCTCTTGGACTTTATGACCTGATTTAAAAAAAAAAAAAAAAGTCTTCAAATACCAATCAGTGAAATGCATTATGTCATAATCCCTTTCAAATTTACTGAAGAAAATGTAACGTCTAACATTGGAGCTGGACTGATCAATGTCTGTGAGGAAGGCAACATATGTAGGCAGATATTCCATCTTTTATTAGACCTCCTGATGTCATGGAAGCTTTGGATTCAGTGGCATTGTTTAATTTGTTGGGGTTTTTTTTTCAGGTTCTGCAGCAGAAATGTTCCATTTCAGGTTACAGATCTTGGTAACTATTGTGCTGTAATGATAGTGTTGCTATAGAGCTACAATAATCAGGCGGTGGAAGACAAAGTTTGTAGGTAGAGAATTGTCTAAAAAAAGGTGTTAGCTCTGCCTACAACTTCTACTGTGGACTGTGAAAAGCAGTTCTGAAGACACTGCACAATTAAAACCTGAGTTACAGACCTTTGCAAGAGGTAATAAAGTGCACTAATAGCACAGGAGGAATCTTGCTTTGATTAATCAAGTGTCTGAATTTTCAAGAAGTGCTGAGGCTCTGGGGAAGCTCACAAACTTCCCTGATACACAGTCCCTGAAGATACACAATTTAACTATAAACTATGCCCTAGAGAGCACAATTTAACTGTGAACAAAGATGTGCATTTTCTTCTCTGATGAGATTATATTGTGCTTTTTAAAGAAAAAAACGATCACTTTGGAAGTCATGTTTAATAGTAAGTTGTAACAGTTCAGACTCTCAGCTAATCTGTCATAGGAGGTTTCACTCTTGTAAAATAGATATCCTATTACAGGTTGTGTTTTAAGCACAAAAGGTTGATAAATTTTGGCAGACACCACACCCTGCAGGACAAGTCACAGTGGGGACAGTGCACAAAACACTTCAGCTCCTGAAGGACTTGAACTATTCCTCTGGTGTAAGAGGAGATAAGCCCAGACAATTTACTCATCCTTAGAAGTCCAATGTGGACACAACAGATTCCTGGTTTTATGCCTGAAGAAAACCACCTCTCACAAAAGCTGCACAGACCTGGGATGTAGATGCTGCTCTGCCTTCAAATATTCATGGCTAAATGGTAAGAGTCCACCTTTCAAGCATTCAGTCCAGATGCCTTTATTATAAGCAGAAAAAAAAAAATTAAAATAAACCCATGGGGGATCTCTCTGCGAAAAAATGCAAGATGTGGTAAAATCTGTTTTTCCTCAAAGGGGTTCCAGTGCCTACCTTCTCTCTTCCCAGGAAAACATCATTATTCTGTGGCCAGTTGCAGATACCTCTGTTGCTTCAACGCCTTACACCATCCATGCTGGAGCGAGGACGCCTGCTTAGCACTTACCAAGTGTATGTATAGATTATCCAAGCTATTAGCTTCCTCCATAGAGTGCCTCAGCATAAACAATTGCTCAGACTGAGGCAGGAGCAGCTGGGCACCCAACTGAACAGAAACAGGGAGCGTGCGTGGGGGGAGGTTAGCATGTAAGATATGCAGCCATCTGCAGCACTCGCCAGGACTGCCGACGCACAGCCGCGCTAACAGGCAAGACAAAATCTCTTTT